AGAGAATTTTATGGAGACCAACTTTGTATTTCATGTTTTCATCATAATTCCTAAGAAATTAGCTTGAAATTTAAAAAGGAAATGTTTCATTCCCTTGGATGAAGCTCACAGCAAACTTGAGAAAGACGAAGAGAAATCTTGATTTTTCTTTAAAAAACTAATATTGATTGTCACCTTTTAATGATAAATTTAATTAAAAATTCATTTAATGCAAAATGACTATTTTTCCCTTGAAATCCAAGGCTCCATATCTTGTCACATGTCAATTTGTTCATCTAATGGTAAAAAATAAACAAATAAGTTAGTATTTACCAACTTTTCCCTTTGAATTTTCCAAAATTACAATATTGCCATTTTTCATCCAACAATCCAAATTGAATATGGAAAACCAAATTAAATCTAATGATCCATATTAAATCCTTCAAATTTAAGTCATGGAAATGAAGTTATTAACCTTGCTTTATCATCCTTTAAAATATTTCAAAAATCTGATTTGATCTGTTATCCTAATTTTTCTCGAACTTTATCACTTTATAGCTTTTAATATAAAATTCGTACAAAATATCTGATTCCCATAGAAATTTCATTCTTGATGGTAAACTATTCATTTACGAGACCGGATTACATAACTTTTTAAAATTACACTCTGGTCCCTAAACTTTCCCAAGATTATACTTTGGCCACTTAACTTTGAAAATTTATATTTTGGTCACAAGTCAAAAATTTGGGATATTACATCAGTTGGATGTGAAGAAAACCTTTTTGAATGGTCATTTATATGATGAGATTTACATGGAGCAACTCCAAGATTCGTGGCACCTATGAAGGAAAATAAAGATTGCAGACTCAAAAAATCTTTATATAGTCTGAAACAAGCTCCAAAACAGTGGTATGATAAATTTCATAAAATTCTTCTCACTTATTGTTTTATAGTTAACAGTGCTGATGCATGTGTGTATTCTAAAATATTTGGATCTGACTGTGTTATCATAAGTCTGTATGTAGATGACTTATTGATTTTCAATGCACATATAAAAGACTTTAAAGAGACTAAAGATTTTTTATCCGCTAAGTTTGAAATGACTGATTTGGAAGAAGTTGATGTAATTATAAAGTGACTAGATTAGATAAGAGATACTCGTTAAACCAATCCCATTACATAGAGAAAGTTTTGAAAAAGTTTAACAGTTTTGATGTAATCCCTGTGAATACCCCCATGAATATCCTAGCATTCAACTAAAAAAGAATAAATGGAATAGTGTCTCGCAATATGAATATGCAAAGATTATTGGAAGCCTAATGTTCTTAATGAACTATACTCGACCTGATATTACCTATTTTGTTAGTAGGTTAAGTAGATATACTCACAATCCTAGTGGTGAACATTAGAATGCTCTTAATCATTTACTTAGATACCTTAAAGTTACAATAAATTGGGAGCTTAAATTTGTTAGATACCCTGCAGTCCTTAAAGGATATTATGATGTAAATTGAGTAACTAACAATGATGAAGTAAGTTCTACTAGTGGGTATATTTTACTTTAGGTGGAGCGGCTATTTCTTAGAAGTCTGTAATACAGACATGTATTGCTCAATCTACCATGGAATCAGAAATCATTGTGCTTGATTTAGTCGGGCAAGAGGTCGAGTGGCTCAAGAATCTGCTTGCAGAGATTCCTTTATGGGGAGACATACACCTCTAGTGTCGTTATTATATGACTCACAAGACGTAATCTGCGTTGCTAATAATCAATCATACAATGGTAAGAAGAGACACATCGGGATAAGACACGAATATGTGAGACATCTTATAAATAATGGAGTAATCACTTTGGAGCACGTGAAATCTTAAATGAACATTATTGATCCCTTAACAAAAAGGTTATGTAAGAAACTGGTTCTTGATTCGTCGAGGGGGACTGGACTTAAGCCCATTGGATGAGTAATTCATATCGTACACTCCTACATATTTGTATGGTGTATTGTGCACACTTGAGAGGTTGACTTTTATACTCTTAATGAATCCATAGCTTAGAATTGGGGTGGTCCTAACGATATGAACTTAATGGATACACAGGTTTTTGAGATTGAGTTTTATACTCTTAATGATTTATAGCCAAAGTTTGTGGGTCGTCCTAATGAGACGGGCTTGATGAATTCACTAAATTTATATATGAGAGGTTGAGCTTAGTAAAAGTTCTTAATGATTTTATAGCCCTAATTCGGGTGGTCTATATTGAGATGACTTGATGAAATCACCTACGTAAATGTAAAGGATTAGCCACCTTCAATGAAAGACTTTGGGTCATCTTTCTAGAGCCACTTATGAGCATCCCGGGGTGTTATTTGGGAAAAAATTTAACTATTGGAACTCAAATAGATATGAGATTAGTTTAGTGTTATTAGTTAACCCTAATCTTAACAAGTTCAAGATTCGTTCACTTGTTAAGATAAGAATTACTCATTTCACTATGAACTAGTTCAAATTTAACAGATACTAGTGCTTAAGCAACTAATTGCGTCGTTGCTTTTTTGTTTTAATTCTTTTGTGGATCTCTATTTATTTGCATTAGTGGGGGATTGTTGGTTATATATATAATAATGCAAAGAAATATAATTAATTTTATTTGAATTTTAAATTTTAAATTAATTCAAATTCAATGGTTGAGATCATGGGAGGAGTTGATATTCTGAAAGATTTTTTTGCTTTTTCTCTTTACATTTTTACCTAAGTACACTTAATTTTTAGCTATAAAAGGAGGTTATCTCCTTCATTTTCAACTCACTCATTTCTTCATTCTCCTCTCTTCTTCTGTGTTTTCTATCTTCACAACTAAGTACCCTTAATTTTTAACTATAAAAGGAGGCTCTCTCCTTCATTTTTAACTTACTCATTTCTGCATTCTCCTCTCTTCTTCTATATTTTCTCTCTTCACAAGCATAGTGAAGTTTTTTTTGTGGCCTTTGATATTTTTTTATTCCAATATTATTTACTCCGGATAAAATATTTTCCTTTCCTCCAAAAGGAGCAACACTATTTATAGTTTCACTTACTTATTTCGGGTGCACAAAATTCGAAACTTTGTGTTAACTTGGGGGCAACGTCCAGTTTAGGAATTACACCAGTTCGGGAGAAATTGTTTCTAAGGCAGTGACTACATGACACAATAAAATTACTTGGTTTTTATTTATTTATCTTATTTATTTTTCCAGTCAGTGCTAATCTTTCATTTTGCAGTAAGCTATTTTCCAACAAGCACCTCTCTAATTACACCCAAATTATCCAAAGCAATTTTAGATTAAGTTAAAATCTCATACACCATGACGTTAAAGTTTTTGGCATCGACCTTCAATTTAATCGCTTCGTCAATTCTATTTTGAGAACTTTAGATGATTTGAATCTTTGCCCGAACAAAAGATGAGGGATATTGAGAGCTTTCATCTATTTTAATAATCTTACGTCACTTGGCTGCAGTTCTCTTAAAAGTATCCCAATTCCAAGAATCAATATGAATCCCCTCGCAAACTAACCATACATGACGGCTCTCCACCACCAGGTTTTCCAACCAAGAATCTATTCTATAGAAACATTCTTTGAAAGCTATGATTTCTCTAACGCCATTCTTTTAATCATATCTAAATTTTCAAACATCAATAAAACATCATCTCCAGCAACTCTCACAATCGAAAAACCAGCTAGACCTTTTCCATGTAGTTGTCTTGAAAGGCTTCCAATTGTAATTAAATTCTTACATCAACCAACCAAACTATTGCTTAGTAGTTGAATTTTAGTTTCATTAATAACCCCTTCAACCGACGTAAGATCCAACCTTGTGATAACTTCAACGCTTCTCTTGTGGATTCATGATCCTCATATACTAATGAAATCTACGAACCTAAAATAATTGCAAGCTAATCTTTGAGCTCAATGAGATTTAATATTCACTACAAGAAAATATACCTTTAATGACACATGCTAATTTATGACTTGCAAAAAATGTGTGTCATAAAAAAGGTCATAGTTTTTTAAAATCTGAACGATTTATGACTTACAATAATGTGTGTCATATTTAATAGTCATAATCCAAAAAATTTGCAAAAACACGGAGTACACTTTTAATTGTATGTCATCTGTAAAAGTCATCTTTTAATTTTCCCCCCATTATTTTCATATTTTCCCGCTTCTTCCCCCTCGATAATTATCAGTTCACGCCGCTTCTTCCACAGGTATTCTTCCACAGTTGATGAAGGTACTTCTTTTTGCTTAGCTTATATCTTATAATATCTTGTCTATGTTTTTTGTGTGTGTATTTATAAAAGAAGGCTCTAATTTATTGATCTTGTGCCAACACCAATAGCATTGGAAGCTCTTGTTGAACACAAAATCACTGATTTTCCTGTTATTGATGATGATTGGAAATTTGTATGTCATCTTTCCCCCTAAATTTTATTGCGAGGTTGTAACTTATAACTATTCGTTTACTTTTCTTTTTCTAACTTTTGGTCCCAAACCTCTAAAGTTTTTCTGTCATGGTTTTATGACATTTCAAGAAAAGTGGAATCTTAGCATTTGCATTGTCCAATGAGACCAATGTCCCTAAAATGAGTGTTGTTGAATAAGATGTTAGACTTATTCTATTAAGGGTAGAATTCTATTCTTAAGGACTTTGATTGATAGTCATGACTCGTTAAGTTTAAGCAAATATCTTGGTGAAATAGTGGCCAATTTCTTTTCCATCTAGCATTGCTAACTATTGTAAGGAATGTCTTCAAACTAAACTGTTCAATGCTAAACCACATACTCCCATCTCAACAATATATGCAAATGCAACTAGCTCTAGGAATGCCAAGTTTGTCACAATAAAATGTGTTTTTTTGGTTACATTGTCCCCATTTCCAGAACTTAGTGGTCTCTTTATGACCTGAAACTAAAGATCCATTGTGTTTTTTTTTGTGCTTTGAATTTTACCTACAGAGGCCAAAAATATAAATTTGAGAGCATAGATATTATTTTTCTATGCAAGCTTCATCTTCCATTGTTTTACCTAGTTTTGTAATGCATTTTCCTCTCCCTCAATCTTGCCATGCAGGTTGTAGCTCCTGTCAAAATGACATTTGAAATGTAAGTGCTATTCTTTATCTAAAACAACCGTTATTATTCTCAATTACTACTTAGCTACAGTATCGGTTTTCTCTTTCCTAAACAAATGTTCTCGTTGTTATAGATATGCAACATGTGTAATACCTATAAGTGCCTTCTTTGCATCAACTCTTTGGTAAGTATTTAACTGTGGTATGACTGGAATTTGTGTTTGGTGTGTGGTGTAGTGTTTTCCTTATTATGGTGTGGTTTGTGTTGTGTAATGAGTTACTTCTGTCAGCAAAAAATACATACTGCTTGAAAATCCTGTTGAGACTGAAAGCAAAGTATTACTTGTGAACTTGTTGCTTGTTACAGTCTCTTTTTTGTTTTAAGTATAAAATTGTTCCTCAATGATCTGTCAGCTTTCCTATCCTAATGGTTGTTAAAGAGTTACTGCACCCAAGTTGGTAGGTTGACTTGAGTTTGTGAAAATTCTCAACTAAATAAACCTGGATGATTATTGTTAAGCTCAAATCAAGTATAGATGCAGTAGCAGTACCTGCTACATGTATTGTTTTATCTTTTATTTTGTTTCTTAAACTTGAACTAAGGTTAAGGGGGTTTCGCAGAGTGGTCAAGTTACCTTCTCTGCATAATGAAGTTTCTTAATTAAGAAGGATCCTAATTTGTTGAATTATTGCCATTTGTCTTTCTCCGTGTTTTCTTATCTTAATGCATTGCCCTGAAACTGGTTCTGACAGCACTAATTTGTTTTTCTTATACTTTTAATGAAAATTAAATTTTAAATGCATTTAAGCTGTTGAGTTGCCAAAAGGTTTATGCTATAGGCTGCAAATTGCTTATATGATATGGAGCTTATTATGTACTGGCTGTGCAAAATTTTGACATCTTTGTTTTATTTTGCTTACCTTTTGTTGATATTGTTTTTGCATATTCTAAGCATCCTCATTTTTTTGTCAATACAGGTTTGGCAACACTGCCTATTTGCACATATCTGTGGCTTTTATCCAGATGCTCAAAGCTCTAAGTATGTGGAAACAAAGTGCATTATTTGATTACATCCAACGAAATCACTCTATAATTGTAATGACTGGTTATTTATGTTTGCAACATTACAGTGCCAGTGGTAACATTTTTCATGGGTGTCATGTGTATATATTGTATGCAAATGGATTGCTTATATATAATATGATATATATATATATTTAGTATTGTGAGGCAATAAATGTGATTTAGTTTGATTATTTGTCAATCTACAATATATATATATATATATATATAATTTACGAAATACAATCAAGACACACAAATGTGTGTCATCTTTTTTAATGACGATGGCTTCAATGACACTCAATGTAAGTCATACATGCGTGTCATTAATTTATGACACACAAATGTGTGTCATCTTTATTTATGACGGGGGCTTCAATGACGCTCAATGCGCGTCATAAATGAGCGTTATAAATATGTGTCATAAATGCGTGTCATAAATGCACGTCATAGATTTATGACACACAATTGCGTGTCATCTGAGATTTATGTCGGTGGCTTCAATGACGCGCAAATGTGTGTCATCTGCACTCATAGATGATGCGCAATAAGTGTCATTAAAGGGTTTTTTTCTAGTAGTGATTAGAGGATCATAACATATCATAAATAATAAAAAAAGGACATCTAGTACATTTATATCAATACTAAATATATATCATTATCATGCTTGCTTATAACTTCTTATGACATAAAATTCATGTAACTTTGTATCCATAGTAATAATCAATGTTTTCAAAATCGGACCGGACATTGAACCGGTGAAGGTATTGGTTCACTGGTTCAACCGGGTTCAACCGCGGTTGAACCGCGCGGTTGAACCGAATTTTATATAAAATAATATATTTTTTTTAATTTTACATAATATTCAAAGCAATATTAATATATATGTAACACTTTATTTAAGTTTACAATATTAAAAAGTATAAAAATATCACAAGTTATAACATGTATAAATGAAAAACCATAAAATCAAGTGAAACAAAATGATTCAAATCAACTACAACATAATATTTAAGGTAAAACATTTTAAATAATAAATATAATTATATAACTATAATCAAAAAAAATAAAATTGGAGTTTAAAAAAAGCATAACAAATGATGTTATTTGGTTTAATTATTTTTAAAAAAACAATCTCACATGACTAAGAAACATAGAAGAGTATCCCAAAAGTTTAAAGAGTAAAAATATGAGAACAAAACAATCCCACATGGCTAAGAAACATAGAAGAGCATCCCAACTTACTTCTATAAATAATAGAGGTAATTTGACATTCAAAATCATGGAGCCTTTTGGTGAGCACAAAGCGAACTATTCTTTCGCTTCAATTGAGCTCAAATTTTTGGCTTCAATTGAGCTCAAATTTTAGGCTTCAATCGAACTTCTAAATTTTTTTTGAGTTCGAGCCTTTTCGATTTCAAGTTTTAATATTATATTTTGAGTTGATAATTTTTAGCTCGTGAGTTTTTGAGTCAAGTTGAGCTTACTTTTAAAGTTTTCGAGTTCGAGTCGAGCTCAGCAATACTCGAATTTGACTCGGCTCATTGAACAAACGACGTTGTTTGGTTTAATTTTTTTTAAAGAAAAAAAGTGAACCGACGGTTCAAACCGGTTTTGTCGGTTTTCAGCCGGTTCACCCCGATTTTCAGTCGGTTCTTCCGATTCTTTACCGATTCTTTGCTAATCCGATTTTGAGAGTTAACCGGATCGGACAAGCCATCGGTTCACGGTTCAACCGGTCGAACCAACCGGTCCGATCCGGTTTTAATAACATTGGTAATAACATATCTTTTATGTAAAATATCATTAGTCATTATGTGATAAGGAATATTTCTCACGGAAAATGCGGGAAAATGTTGTACCTCCTTCGATAGTCGATACCTCCAGAGCTAATCACCTTGATAAGGATGATCAGTACATCTGAAATTCTAAGAGCCCTTCGGACGGACTGTATTCCTTTGATTTGACGAATGTTAAGTCCATCACCGACAAACTCTGCCACATAACAACTAAGTTAATTCACTTTGTCAATTATGAACGACTATCATTATCCTAAACCTGATACTTATCTTAGACCTGACAGTCACACGTTCTAAGGGTCAGTATATATATGCCAAGGCATAATAAGAGAAAGTGATCTCTCTTTTTTCTCACTTTTTCGTCGTCTTAAAAATGCTTAAGAAAACACTACGACTCTTCATACAAATTAAAAGGAATGAATTGCCTATATCGACCCATCACATTATTACCATCAACATCGTTAAAGACACATAACCATCAATTGATTAATTAACGTAAAATTCAATTAACAATTAAACATCTATAGTCAACTTTAAGAATTAAATGAGTCTAAAAAATATTTAAAATCCCATTAAATAGCCAAAAACAAAAAAAAAAATTTGGAGATAAGAGAAAGGAATTATCTAAATTTTTTTACCACATTTAAAGTTTTGCCAACAATTTCTTTGACTAGATGATATTGCTATTTTTATTTCTATTTTGTTAAAATGAAATAATCTGAAGGTTTAATATAAAAATAAGTGTTTAAATTATATTATTTTTTTTAAATATGTATCTAATTTTTTTGTTAATTTAGGTGTTTAATATTATAAACGTTATCACTTTAGGTGTCTCGACCGTAAATAAACGTTATAAAAACTTGTTAAATGACATGTGTCACGTTTATATATTTTTTAAAATATTTTTAATAAAAAATAAAAATATTATTTTTTATGAAAAACCCCGAAATTCTTTAAAAATACAAAAAAAATCCCAAATTTCTTTCCTTTTCTCATACCGCTGGTGACTATTTCTTCCGTCATAAGGGGGCTTTGCATTGGTGAGAGGGATGAAAGGGCGAATGACACTAGCGAGAGATGACGGGCAGACATTGTTGGAGAGGGACGACGTGGCGGACCTTTTTCTCTTCCGCTTGCTTCTCCTCTGCTGACGATGACAACTCGTGATGGATGACCAGTAGTGGGTTCCGTCGACGACGGGTGAGTGCTCACCAACGATGATGACGATCAACTGGGGCGATAGACTTTAGGTTAAGGATTTTGGGGGTATTTGGGGATTTTAGGGTTGATTTTATATTTTTTTAAGAATTTTGGGGTTATTTCTTAATTTTAAAGAAATTAAGGGTTTTTTAAAAAATATAAAAATACTTTGATGTTTTTTTAAAAAATAGTTTTTTAAAATTATATGAATGCGGTACGTGTCACTTAACGAAAATTTTTAACGACAATTAAGATACGAAAACCTAAAATCATAACGTTTATATGATTAAACACCTAAATTAATTGGAAAAAAAATTAACCATCTATTTTACAAAAATAATATACTTGAAGTACTCATTTTTTGTATTAATCCTAACCCGGACCTATGCCTGTAAATGAACTGAACGTTCATCAAACCGTTCATGAATCGTGCGGCGAGAAGTTCGTTTATGTGTGTTTATTTATTAAATGAACGAACATGAACAAGATTTTGTGTTCGTTTAATTAAATGAACGAACATAAACATATGTCTCGTTCGTTCATTTACGTTTGAGAACGTTCGGTTATGTTCGTTTATGTTCGTTCGGTTATGTTCGTTCATTTATGTTTAACTCAATCTTCATAAATCAATTTTGGTGACCAATTTGTAAGTATCTTAAAAATATTAATTAATCTGATATTCTAATGACCAACTCCATAATTAACCCAATTTTATTTGGAGATTAAATCCAATATATTAACCCGTGAGGCACCTCACATCTATATTCATTTTCTCACTTTTTTTCTCAAACCCTAGTGTTCACTGGAGAGTGGAGACGATCGGTGAAAGCTTCAAAAAAAGTTATATTATAGTGTAATCTGAAGTTTTACAGGTCTGTTTTCATCAAAAAAACATCATACTTCTTTCTAGAAATAGATGGGAAGATAAATGTAACAATCGGAAGTATATGAGCATCAGTAAAGAGAAAAATATATAGAATTTGCCAAAAAAACAAAACAAATGTTTATATGCAATTTATGAAAAAGAGTGTAATAGCGGAAGTAATGAGTTTTCCAGGAAGAACTCATTAATAAGTAGAAAATACACTTTGACAATGAACTTTTGTTTTCATAGTTCTTGTGTGACCTATAGTTGTGGAGTAGACTTTAGGTACGTTAAAATTTTGAATGGTGGTTTAGCAGTAATATCAGTTAGATATGTAGTATCTGAGGGATTTTGGATCTATGTTATTGCCTTGTAGTCCAATTTGTACCGTTCGAAATCTTCATGTTGTTAAATTTTCTACTCTGCCAATGGAAATGATCATTATTAACCAATCTTACTAAAATCTGACATTGATGTCACAAAACTTTTAGCCGACGAATTTATTAGAATAACGTAGTAGAAAATGATTGTTCATATGTAATCATGGACCACCAAGATAAATGTTATAGCGTTAAATTAAAGTCGTGTGAATCATTTAATATCTTTAAAAGATCGATCGAAATATTTGATATCTTCAAACATTTCATCACTGCTAATAAGCTCTTACGCTATTTATCATTGTAGATTTGGTTGATTTGCATTGTCGACTATTTTTCATGAAAGAACAATGGAAGGTAGGGTCTCTAACGTCGTGTTCATTTATGACCGTGTTCGTTTATATTCGTATTCGTTTATGTTCGTTTATAACGAACATGAACAAGCTATATTCCTTAATGAACGAACATGAACAAAAAAAATTTTGTTCATTTATGTTCGTGTTCATTTATTTATTAAATAAACGAATATTAACATATCTCCGTTCGTATGCATTCGATTTATTTACAGGCCTACCCGGACCGAAATGGTTGGTGGTAATTAAAAGGAGAGCCGTTGGATGTGTTTTTATTCTTTTATCCATATAGATGTGGGCCCGACCTATTTTCCAAAGTTTTTCTATCATTCATCAACTCCATTGGACCTCACACATCCTCATCTCAACTCTCGTCTAATATACATTTTCTTCCTTTTTTAATAGATAAATAGGAAATAGTAATTCTCGATGAGTCAAGGCGTTACATTCTCTTTCCATCCCAATTTGAGTTTCATGGAAACACAAGCTCACGC